CAAGATCTATTATTTATTTAAATTAATTTTGTGATAAATAATATTAAATAATAGAGTCTGAAAATTCAAGTTTAAGTGATTTGTTAATCACAAGGAGTTGTGATTGTGAGATACAAATTACGTATGATTAGATCTTGAACAAACCATGGTCGTAAGTAATAACGAGATTCGGATATCGTTAATATAGATAGATCATTATGTGTGACATTTCTTACTTGTAAAGTAAGTAGCTGATCTCACGAGCTAAAGTGTGATGACAATTAAATGAACACGTGGATATTTTGTTATAAAACAAAACATTGGAGACCCACTAAAAGATTCCACATGGATAACTATCTGAGTGTCAATGGTTAATCTCTAACGTTCGGTAATGAAATTGGTTCTATGACTTGAGGTCATCATAGTACCTTGTATGAGGACAGTCATGTTTTGACGGTATTAGATGTTGCTCTGCCAAGGGCTGCTAATATGACATCGTTCGGGTATGTCAAGAACCATATGAAGATTGTGAATGACTAATAGAGGATTCGTCACTCTTAGATAGTAAGAGATTGTGATTTGCATTTCATTCAATTAAGTCAATAACGAAATCTTTGGCCAAGGTATACATATAAGTCGAAAAGAAGTTTTCGACTTATATTGGCTTAATAGTAGAATGAAAGATATGATCGATAATCGAGATTGACAAACTTTCATATCTCGTAGTTGGTCGGATCATATTGACAAAGGGATTATAATTTCATGGTAAACGAACAGTTTTGGTTTTGTCATACCACATGACATTTCTATCACATGTGTTGTCCTGATATATTATTAGATGTCAATCTGGGACGGCGAGTGTGAATTTGTGATAAATTAAGATGGTGTTTAATTTATCAGTTTTGATTAGATCAAAATAATATTTCACGTCGTTAGGTATCGTGGTCGGGAACCTGATGGGTCGCACACAAAAGAGAATTGGAAGATTGTAAATTGTAAGTTAATTAATTCATCCAATCATTCGATAAAATTAATTAATTGGATTGGTTATTTATATCCCCAAATTAATTAATTTGATTAATTAATTCGCGGATCGGGTTTAATTAAATGGATTAATTAAATATTGAACTGGACCGGGCCCGGCTCATTTGGATTTATATAAATACATGGCTAGGGTTTGAGATCCATATTGTTTTCATTATTCTTGTTGGCACAAGAGAAAAAACCCTAGCAGTTGCAGTCTATTCTCTGTGTGGATTTCATTGGAGGCTGGACAATTGGACAGTTGTGAGAAGCAGATTCAAGTTGCTGGAAAATGATAACGCAAAGAAGTTTGCAAAATCAAGAAAAATGTATATTTTTCATCACAATTATTATCTAAATACAAAGTAGAATCCTGGTGGGAATTGAAACTGTTTATTTCCGCTGTGCATGTTTAAGTAAATTCTCAACGCAAGTATGCCCTTTTATTGAAAAATACTGCTGAAAATTGTAGATTTTTCTATAATTGAATACTTTACCACTTGAATTAAGCACGACATGTCACATGATTATCAGGTTAGAACAATATTTAATGATTATATATTCAATGTCAGTAAACAATTTTAGGACCATAAATTCATAAGGAAAATTCAATTTTAGGATTTGGACCATAAGTGAGATATATTGTTCATTCAATCTGCACATCCTAGTGCTTAGTTTTATGAGGTTAACTAAATCTTAGCCCCCCCAAAAGACGAAATTTGAGCACAAGTTGTTCACGAGCCACGATTCGAAAAAATTTATTCATGACAACAGCAAACACAATAAACGAACTTGTCCTTATTGATGTTATGTGTAGACATAAAACAAATAAAAAATAAAAGAAAACGAATTGGGTCGATTTAAATCATTAGCCCAATTAAATTTAAGTCTATTAAAATCCATAAAACTCAAAGGCCCATACCAAAATTTAAATAAATAAATAAACAAACAAATAAATAAAATCATAATTATTCAATTATCTCTTTTAATTCAATATAATTGAGTAATTACCAAAACTAGCCCAAATTCTCCCCTATAAATAGGACCAATGGTCCATAAGATAGGGGTAGAAGAAGGGAAGTGAAGAAGAAGCAAGAAAGAAAGCAGAGAACGTCACGAAGTGCTGAAGAAATTTTAAGACCAAAAAAAGGAAAGAAATTCTCTAAAATCTAATCTCGGTGAACCCCAAGAAGATTAAAATCTTCTTCGAATCAAAAAGGTTCACGCCAAATTCAAGAAAATCAAAGTCTCCTTCAAATCAAATTCAAGTCTAAGTCCAAGCCTCAAGATTCAAGTTCCGAATAAGTCAAGTCTCGACAAATCAATTTTTTAACAAATTCTCGAAGATTAGAATCAAGCCACATGGCCCCTCGTCTTCAAATATCCAGATCATTAATCAGAGGATTTTTATAACTTTGTAATTACAAGAAGGTCAACATCACTTGTATTTATCAAAATACAATTTGTAACGATTTCTGTATTATAATATACGAGATTTCGTCGTACAAATTTCTTGGCACACCTGGTGGGACCTTCTTGTCCTCTTATCTTTTGATCTCAAAATTTTGAAGTTTCAACTACTATATCAGCAATGGCAGGCGAAAAGGCGAAACAAATTATGACTCATCTTGAAGAAACACTTGCTGAACTCTTCCATACGACCAGGACCCAAAC